GAATCGCTGTAATTTTCGTTTATTTTTTTCGAAAAGAATCTTGTTTACTCACATGATAAATGATAAACTTTATTTTATTTTTGCCCAGATATCTATTAGATTATAAATTTAATTAATTTAGCTGAATAAACTATATTAAATTTCACCAGACTCGAATAATACGTAATGTTGACATGCGTTTAGAATATGCGTTATTTAAAATAGTTTTTAAAGATGCATATACACTTCCTCTATGTATGTTTGTTCTCAAAGCGAATGGGTTTGTCTTGTAGCGTAGTAAAAATGTGATGACCTTACTGAAGGAAAGCAACTTTGATAAATTGTATTCCTGAGTGAAAACTGTTGTACATCGTTATTTTAATAATACAATTAAAGTATCGTATACTTTTTTTCTTTACATTTACCTAAAGCTTGATGATAATTAAGAAAAGGAATGCCTATGTTAATGTTCCATAAATTCATTTACCATGTAAAATATTTAATGGCCGGAGCAGTAAAGTACCGCGCTAATATATTTTCATGAAACTGTACTTGTACTACGATTATTATTAATAAGTGTTTCAAAAGATTACTTTTTTACTTCATATTTTATGAAATTAGAGACATATATTTTGATCTCCTTATCCTTTTAAAATAACCTGATTATTTCCTTTATTATTTGTTTAAACTGATTAATACCTATTAACTAAATATATTGATACTTTTGAAATTCAGTTATTATAACTTTAAATAATATTGTATTATTAACATAGATTTTACTGCAATACATAGCTTTTTGGTGACGACTCAAATACATACCCCTTGTGTCGCTTCGCTTATTCGGCCTAAAATAATTTTAAATTATTGCATTGATTTTCACTTTTGAATCAAACAAAACATAAGTAAATAGTCGCTCCTCTTCCAAAAATGGAGGTTTTACTATTTAAGATACGTATAAACCAAAACAATAATATTCTAATCGAGCAGGGGATTCCAAAAAAACTAGTAAATCTAGTCAGGATGTGCTTGACGGAGACACTCAATAAAGTTAGAATCGGTAATAATTTATCCGAAAAATTTGAGGTTCGTTCGGGCTTAAAACAGGGGGATTCTCTTTCACCTGTACTGTTCAATTTGGCATTAGAACATGCCATTAGGGAGGTAATGCGAACCGAGAAAGGGTTGGATCTGGGCGGGGCAACATCCGTGCTGGGCTATGCTGATGATCTGGTACTGTTAAGCGAAGACGTTGAAACTATAAAACTAAATACGACAACGTTAATGAAAGCCGGTAAAGAACTAGGACTCGAAATAAACATGGATAAAACAAAATATATGGTTAGCTGCAAAAATGGCGATACTACTGGTGATATCGATATAGATGGTAATATGTTTGAACAGGTAGATAAATTTAGGTATCTAGGTTCTACGATAACTAGAAAAGAACGAAATTGAAGAGGAGATTAAGGTTAGACTGAAGGCGGGAAATGCTTGTTATTTTTCTGTGACAAAACTACTTAGTTCGCGCCTCTTGTCCCGGAACTTAAAAATTAGAATCTATAAAACAATTATCTTGCCTACAGTTCTTTATGGATGCGAAACTTGGCCGCTTACATTAAGGGATGAGCAGCGTCTTAAGGTTTTTGAAAATAAAGTATTGCGTAGAATATTCGGACCGAAGAAGGATGAGTTAACCGGAGAGTTCAGACGGTTACACAACGCCGAATTGCGTGAGCTGTATCTGGGTAATATAATTGAGGTAATTTCATCGCGGCGAATCAAATGGGCTTGTAAAGTTGTTGGGCTTAGTAACGAGAGAATTCCTAAAAGGTTAATATTTGCTGTGCCGAATGGTAAGCGTCCGAGGGGTAGACCGAAGCGAAGGTGGGAAGATTGTATTAAAGCCGATCTGAAGGAACTGGGTTTGGACGGCAAACGGTGGAGAGAGGTGTGTAACAAGCGATTGGTGGTGTCGGCATCGAACCTTCGGGTTCGCTAAGCCTTATTATTATTATTATTATTATTATTATAAACCAAAACAATGCAATTTAAAAAACAAAACAAATATAATAAAATTGAAATAAAAAATACTTACAATCACTTCAAACTTTCCCATCATAAATATTACGACTCCTAATTAAAATACATTAGTTGATCAACAAAGCCCCACATACTGACTTCCACCTGCTCATAGTTGACCAACACGTACCGACTCTTCTCCACAGATTTCAAACTAATTTAAACCAACACACTAAATAAGAAATATGACTTTAGTTAAAATGTCTAAGAATACGAGCAGGAGACTGAAAAGGCGGTGAATGAGAGATCCATTCTCTTATTCTTGATAAACCATAATAATTGAACCAAGCCATAGTTGGGGTACTGCTGGGTGCTTTCCTTCCCCATATCTGATTTATTTTCGTTATTTTTATGAGACCACCTGTTGATTGTCAACAGTTCATCGCTAGGTGCAGATGAATATATGAAGCTATAAAAATATTATGTTTTGGTTATTGTCCGTATTGTAAATCAATACGTAGATGATAACCTGAGTGGTGATTAAGAATAAAATAAAAGACTACTTATGACGACGTTTTCCATCTACTTTGTTATTCTTCATGATTAAAAATTATGAAAATGTGGTAATAAATGAAAGAAACAAAAGTAATAACTGATAAAGCAATTGACAATAAATAATAAGTTAGATATCGTTGTATTTGTTGACTATTAAAATGGTGTGTATTCAGGTTTTTTTGACAAAAATATTTTGATAGAGATGTCGCAGGATTATAAAATAATAAATAATAATGTTGTTGTTTGGATTAAGATAACTGAAAAGAAATAGCCCAAGATAAGGAAAGAAAGGTGCTTAAGACAGCAAATGGATCTACAAGGCCTGTGATGCTGACCGAAAAAAATTATGCTGTAACGTGTAATGAATTATAAAATATAATAAAAAGAAATATAAGGCAACTGGATGTTGAAAATGATTTTTAGTGATTTAAAGTAATTCAATTGCAGTTTATTCAAATTAAAAATAATTAGAGAACACCATTAATTAAAAAATAAGATATAAAACCCGGAAAAAAACATTTTAAATAGTCTAACTCTGTTTCTCAGATTTCTAGGTCAAACTACAATATTTGAATAAACCTGATGAGTACTTTACAGCCAATACATTTATTTTATCTATATATTTTTTATAAATAAATTCAAGCATGTAAAAAAGATTTATCCTGCATTGAAAAATCCTGGAGATAATGCCCCATAATACAGCCTATCACCGATATGATAAGATAATACGGCCTATAACTGATGAGGTAAGATAATACGGCCTATAAGCGATGGGACTGATACTTGGGCAGATATTTCGCTGGATCGGCTGAAGGAGCCTGGCCAGCTGCCTCCACGATATCGGAAAAGAGTTACAGGCGCTCTGCTTATACCATTCCGCAATACCCGCCCGATACATATTGCTCAAGTATAAAGCCAGAATCATATCATTATTTATGATTTATTAATCTAAATTTAGTTTAATGGGGAGATTAAAGGTAATATAATCAGAAATTTATCATGAATTTTAAATTTTAAATCCCCGCCCTCACTCCTTGGCCCGGGAAAATTCCGTATAACCTTAAAGTCAAGGAATGGGGGAACCCCCACTTTCTCCCCTCTCCCTCAAAAAATATGCACTTTATCTATTTTTTATTTCTCTAAAACAAATTTCTTTTCAATAAAAACATTTTTTTTTTTGTAGCTGTTTATATAGAATAGAATAGAATAAAAGAATCAACTTTATTAAAAGTCCCTTAATTTTGTACATAAAAATTAACATACCGTCTGGCCAAAATACATATTACAATAAAAAAAAACAACTAAAAACTAGGTAATAACAGAAGTATTTACATAACTATAAAGATATATTAAAGAAATAATATGAGAAATATCTTCACAGCACTGCAAAATAGTTGCTACAAACAATAAACTATGGAATACTAAATGAAATTTGAAATGAACGATAAATTACTTGTGTTGTCATACCATTGAATTAATGAAAAAAATAATAATAAAAGAGCAGATAAATATTTACTATAAAAGATTTACATCTCATTACATGCTTGTTAATAACCATAGTTGCGAACTTATAACCAATTTTTCAATTCTTTATTTTCAAATAAAGAAATAAATAGGATGTTTTTTTACCAATTGGCTCTATCACTGTTTCTTGGAGTACATGAATCACTAGTTTTCTTCACTCTACAATGTAGCAGATTATTGCAAAATATATTTTTTTTAAGTGGAAATTTTCTTTAGGCATGTATTGCATTTTTTTGTGGAGAGTTAATTAGATGTAGCCGTCAGATTTCTGATGTGTAACGCTCGGGTAAAGTCGGATGGAATCGACTGATTGAAATGTTTTTGCATATAATAATATTATGCATACTGAAATATCTCAAAAACTAAAAATCGGATTTGCATGCTGTAAACGAGGGAATTCTTCAGTATTTCACTCTCTCTGAAATGGGCTATTATTTAAAATTGTATCTAAACGCGACGTCTTGTTGCAGGCGAAAAGGGAACAAATAGGGTCGGAAACAAATTATAACGAGTTTTATGGAAGATGTGGATTAAAATATATCATTAACTAAAAAATCGGATCTGCATACTGTAAGCGAGAGAAATTTTCAGCATTTCATCCTCTTTATAATGAGCTATTATTTATAATTTCTATTTCATATTATTATTAATATTGCCTTGTTGGTGTTTTCACTTCTATCGTATGGTCTAAAGCAGACGCTTCAGTTTTTTATCTGTTAACAAGACAGAACGTGCATAATAAATAACCCAACCGGTAACAGTTAAAAACAATTTGAACTAATATCATAAGATTTTATTAAAAAGTGATTTGAGATAAGGAGTAAGCAAGACCCTAAACATTAAATACAACTTATTAATCAGATGACATGAACTTTTTTCTATACAGAAATAAATCATTAAATGATAAATAAGTATTTGGTAAGATGGTTAGTTGGATCATTGGATCGGCTGAAGAACGACTTATCTGGCAGATGTTCTTGATGCCGAAGATCAAGAAGGAACCAGAGAAACGTGTTATCAATTGGACGCTTCTGGCCCTTAACAAGGGCAGGTGGAGAAGAATTGTGAGAGCAGTCCTGAACGTTTTTGTTCTAAAGTAAATTGCAGAAGAAAAATGTAATAAAATATTTAAGCCTTCTCCTCTGTGTACATTTCATTTATTACAGTATTCTTTTTAAAATTTTATAATTTTGGATTGAATTATATTAAATTTGAAATGGATAAAAAGTTTAATCATAGCTTCAGTACCCCATTGATAATTTGGTCGTTCGTTAAGATTAATTATTCCATATGTCAACTGTTGAAATTGAATTAAATCATATATTTAAAATAATATGTTTAAAGAATGATTGTAACATTCAAACTGCCTATTTCTTCTTATTCATTTTCTCTTCTACGACAAAGCAGTGTGAGGAGCCTCCTAGCAGAGCCGAATCCTCAACTTCCGATCCTGTTTCGCGTCCTACTCCATATCGTTTCTATAAAGATCTCATTGACTATCTCCACCCATGATTTCCTGAGCCTTCATCAGTCGTCGTTAATTTCTGATCACCTCATACGATTTTCCTCAATCACTATCTCAGCTGATCTTACGTTATTGTTTTGCAATTAATGATTTAAAATGTTTTTTTTTTTTTTTTTTTGATAAAACAATGAAAAATAAAAATACCTTAATTTTTTTCATTTCATTAAAAAGGTAGCAACGGAACGGATAGAGCGTCCATAGAAGAAAGAATAGCCAAACTGGAAAGACTGAACTTTACCACTAGAAACATCTACAGCAAGAAAAAATTGTCCTCTAATGCAAAAATAAGGCACTACAGTAAAGTAGTAAGACCAGTGATACTGTATGGTATGGAAATAGCCTTTCTAGCCTAGAGAAAGTCCTAAAGGTTGATAGGGAAATTCTGAAGAGGATTCACGGACCTAAACTAACGCTAGAGCGGCATAGGTGAAAATCCAATGAAGAAAATAGGAATTTGGAAGAACTGGAAACAGTCATCAGGATCAGGAGACTGTCGTTATACGGGCACATTGTCAGAATGAACGATGAGGGATCAAACAAGAAAAGTCTGTAGCTTTAAAAGTATGGGAGAAATGTAAAATAAATAAAAGAGGATTTTTGGGGAAAAAATAAAAGAGATTGGGGCTATTATGGGGAGGAGAGAGAGAGGGGGGAGAAAACGGAGTAAGGAAGTGCGAAAGGAATAGTCCAGGAGAATGAAAGAGTATTGGAGTGGTAGGGAGGCAGAATGGATGAAGACGAGCAAGAAATAATTGCTGAGTGATTCGTGTAAAAAAAAAAATATATAAAAAAATGAACGACTGAACCTACAAATTGAATAAATTTTCTTTTTAAAAAGAACTGAAATTTTATTCACATTTGCAATGAGGTCGATTACATAAAGGATGATGATTTTTAACATTGCGAAGTTAATTCTTCTTTTTCACTTCATAAAACACAAGCCTGATGATTTATAGTAAAAGAGACTTATCTCTAGAAAAATAAATAAAATTGAAATCAGAAAATTAACAACAAATATGGAGACAATTCAGAATATTAGTTTCTTTTGTGATTTCTCTTCGTTTTTCCTTTGGTATCGCATTTTCATACCATGAATCTGACTTTCGCGTATTGTGGTGAGGGTCCATATCGCTGGAATAGGTCTTTATTGGGAGGGAAATGTTTATGTAGACAGTAGTTTTGGTCTTTTTGCTCATTTATCGCTTATTCAGGAATCCTTTCTTGGTGGAATTGAAGCAACTTCCTGCAGACTTCACTCTTTCTTTTATTTTATCTGTCAATCTATCCATGCTCATTTATGTAGGTAAACTATTCTGTCATATCTTCTTTCTTTCCTTCTATTTTTCATAATTATAGCTTTTTCCACATTTATTCACGTATTTATCTTCTGTAATTTTTCTTGAAGGATACCGAGTTGAATCGAAGGTTTCGTCTGTTATTTTGGTTAGTAATTATTTTATCTTTAAGTACTGTCAAATTGTTGTGAAGCTTGTTTGAGATTCGGTATGCTATTTTGATTTCATCAATATTGTATTCCAAAAATGTTTTTTGTGGAGGATTCTGAAAGGTGTTTTATATATGTTAAAGTTTTATATCTAGGAAACAGAGGACTATCCTTATTATGATCGTTATGTTTTATTGTTTTATATATTTCCTTTAATATTTTATGCCACGTAGTAATAATTAGGGAGTCAGGTTATAAATTCGTTTTGAGAATTTTAAAGATTAGCTCTTTCAAATTATTTAAACAATCTCTAGCCTTACCAATGAAATTACTAAACACATTCAATTTTTGATTAAACGGGTGGTGCGATAAGTAATTTAAAATTCTATCATTGCAATCGTCTTTCTTTGTCCACTTAATTTTCAATTGACAGTTCAGTTCATAAGCAAGACATTCAAAAAATCAATTCAAAATATGTAAATTCAAAAAATGTAGTTATTTAATTTTATTTCATTCGTAAATTGTAGGGTAAGTAGGGTAAAATTAATTTACGTCATAGTCGTTCATTCTTTTTACAATCTAATGAGCTTTTATAGAATTTTGCTAATTTCTTAGTGGTTCCTTTTATATTGTTTAAAATGGGCTTTAAAGGCTTATCAGATTTGTGTGATTTAACGAGTCCGTATATTCTAGGACATATCACAGTATGCGTATTTAATAATTTCTTCTGAGCATCATCAATATATTTATTTTTATGTAATTTATCAATGAATTTATTACATTTATTAGTCAGCTTATTTAGTGGGAATTTTTTCTGATCCATTATAAGCTCCCTATTTACTTTACTGTCATTAAATAAGGAACACATTTTTTTATTGTACCCATCCTCTGTCATTAATACGATATGTTTCGTTTTGTCCGATTTAATAATATATTAATTATGATTATTTATCATAAATTTTTTAAGGTCCAACAAATCCTTCACTAAGAGCCGTGTAATAGTGTCCGTTTCATTTGGTTAAAAAATTGTTAATTTTTCGAGAAATGTTGTTTCTGACTCCATTTTTATGGCTATCGAGTGCGTGAATTGATTTCAAAATACTCTCGGTCTGAGCAACAATATTATAGATATCATTTTTAAAATTAATAGGTAAAAAATATTATTTTCACCTAGGCTAAGTAAATTCAGAATGTTTTTATGGATAGCCAGATTCGTGAGGTTCTTAATAAATCTCTCTTTATTAATTCTAAATATTTATTAATAATAGACATCTTCCTTGATTTATTCATTATTCTCATGTTTTTATTAATATTTTTAATATCTAAAATTGTTTTATTATTTGGAATATGTTTTTTGTTACGATATGGTTTGTTTAAAGTAAAATTAAGTATTTTTTTACTTTTATCGATATTTTTGTTATAACCTTATTTTTTAAAATACTAAAATGTTTTATTGAAAATTTCCACTGTTTCCTAGATTTAAACCTCAACATATAAAAAACACCTTTCAGAATCCCTCACAAAAACATTTTTGGAATACAATATTGATGAAAATAGCATACCGAATCTCAAACAAGCTTCACAGCAATTTGACAGCTCTTAAAGATAAAATAATTATCAACCAAATTTATAATTTAATCTATGAAATAAAATGTCTACATTGTTCGAATTCTTATATAGGCATGACAACTAAAACCTCAACATTAGACATTACCAAGATAAAAATTCATGTACTAATTATATAGACAAAAATAAAGAGAAAAAAGAACCTAAAACATCTTTAGCAAACCATACATCTGACGTAAAACATAAATTTGACTTTGAGAAACCGATGATTCCATGTTTCGGTGAATCATTTTAGAACATTGTGTATGACTTTTACAGAGTGTTTTGAATATTGGGATTATTCACCGAAACATTAACGTTTTTATATAAGTAATAAGTAAAAATCATATAAGGTCTTTCGATCCAAGAAACGAACATATTTACCTCAAACATTGGAAGTCGGTGGTTTTAAAGAAAATAATATATCGTTCATAAGTTGTTTTATTTGAACCTGTTCACCCCATAATAATTATTTGTTGTCAATTTCATCTAAACCAGGTTAGAGCGACTTATAGTGATTTTATTAAAACAAAATCAGTAATGTATTAATAGGTTGATATTATAGTAAATAGTATTACTTTTGTTGTCATATTTTTTAATGAATGCGTTATAGATAAACATCTCACTTAATATCCTCTTGCAAGAAGAAATGATAACGACGTTCGACGAAATAGGGGAATGATAAACTGACAAATTATATAATAGCGATATATTTAAAAAAAAAAAAATACATAACCATGAACCTTGAGTATAGTTCAATAGGCCGAAACGTTGAATAATAAGTACATAAAGTGAAAATCTTTATTATTCGTGACCTTTGGCCTGCTACTTAAAAAAAACAAAAAACGAAGCGATTAAGTAAATCTAAATGGCAGATAATAAGTAAGATTATTGTAAAATAGTTAAAAAGTATTGCAAACTATAAATTTATTGTTTGCCTATCTTTTCTGGTCCTTGCCATTAAAAAAAATAAATAAATAAAATAATAATATATATATATATGTAATTACTTTATCTGAAATTCATGAAAACTATGTGCAAGGTTTCAGAAGTTACTGCAAGGAAAAGATGCCAATACGTAATCCCGACAGTCTCTATTAATTAATTTTACTCTTGAACTTGTAAGATTTGTTTTACATACTTACCTATTTACCTATTTGACATACATTATTATTTTTAATAAGTTTACAAGCTGATAAAATTATTTCTCTTTTCTTTCAGTAAAACTAGTTCGATCTGGTCTCAGAAACGTTCAGCCATCCCTATATTTTCTACGAAATTCTCGAGGCCTCTAAGCTGTTCATTTCCACCACAGTTCATTTTTCTAGCTCCATTAGGCAGTAGCTAGAGCGTGCGAAGATGACTGGACAAACACCTTTTAAAGTGTTATGGTTTCGTGCTTCCCCAACGCATGTCTACACCCGTGCTTTAACAAACATTTGATGTACAAAGACAAACTTTACAGTTTTGTAGATATTTACAAAAAACATAGAATTGCACTTGGTTTGGCCTAATAAATTAGGGTTTTGACTAGGTTTTAAGAAGAAGAAGAAGAAAGTAAATGTTATTTTGGGGCACTGAATTCTCTAAAAGTAATGTAAATGAACAAATACAGTTTGATTTTTCTGACTTAAATACTAATTAAATTATAAAATAAAGAATAAAGTCACTATGTTTACTAAGATACAGTGACTTTATTTTTCTCTGTTATATAAAAAAGTTTTTAGTGTACGTCATATTTTATTTTATTTTAGTATTAGAAGCGTGGGAGATACAGGAGGTGCCCTATTTTCTCTTTAGCACTAATTACACAGCTGTTCATTTATGTGAGTTGACTCTACATATGTGTTGAGATCCTGTTACCTTATACTCTACTTATACAAAATAAAAAAATTAGACTAAAAATTTATCATGCAATTTAAAACTAGTGAAACAAACAATGATGTTGGCTCCTGGGAGCTGGTCGTTGATAATAAAAGATCTATGTCAGATTCGAGCGAGCTAAAGCATAAAAACAACCAAAAGAATCAATTCCAACCTCAAACAGTTTTGAGGTTTTAGTCAACGTTACTAACTCGCAAACAGAAGAAATAAGGAAACCACTTCAAAATGATAAAATTCCACCAATTTTTATACGGTGGCCACTGTTAACTCACAAACACCTGACATATATCGAAAATTTAATTCAAGCATACGAAATAAAGGTGCTAACTTTCACACCTGCCAACTCCCTCAGGACAGATGCCCAAGGGTTGTTGTTAAATATCTCCACCACGAAAAACCAGTCTAGGTAATCAAAGAAGAATTTAAAAAGATGGGATATGAAGTAACACATGTAATATCTCGATTTAAAAAAACCCTTCATATGTTCTTCTTAGGCGTGACGTAAGAGACATTCAGAGAAGATATTTTTAAAATTTAATTTTTTATATTACTCTCATATTTTAATTGAGGAACCTCGTCAAAAGCGAAGTATTCCTCAATGTATTCGGTACCAGTAATATGGGCACACTTATTTTTTTTTAAAACACTTTATTGAGAAATATTACAATTTGTCACAGTTAAGGACACTTATAATAGAGTTCAGAGAGTACATTCATACCATATATACAAAAATATAAATAAATAAAGTAATAACAAAAGAATAAGAAAAAAGAACAAAAAAAAAAAAGAAAAGAAAAAAAAATATATATATACACATAAGTAAGTAAAAATAGAAATAAAAGTAAAACAAACATCCTAGATAAAATATACAATATACATGGGCACACTAAAACATATTTCAATCATCTTCCGCAACGATTCTCCAAATGTTTTAATTTATTACTTTCCTACCTATACTAGGTAAATATTACGATCTGGCCAAATTTCCGATGTTTGGTTTTCGACGGATCTGTACGTTTTAGAGCCCACTGAATTCGGAAAACACAACTGTTAACGAAGTTACAGCTATTTTATTTCATTTGTAAGATTATGAGTACAAATCCAGGTGCCAGAAAAGAGTGAAAGAGAGAGAAAAAAAGTTTCACTTATTCCTTTACTTTTCACAGAAATCATTGTCTGAAAAATTGGTCTATGACAAACAATTTTTGATTAGCAATATTAGATCATATTGAATTTTCACGCTGATCTTCCACAAGCCGATTTACATTCCTTTTGTTTATCAATGAAATTGTACTTAAATCTTTTCTTTGATCAATTTGCAGGAAAATAAATCTAATTCAATTTTTTTTTTTTTTTTTGGTTTCTTAAAGATATAAAAACTTTTCTGAAAGTCGTGTGAGTGGACAAACCAGATTTTTTTAAGCGATTGCAGGTAATTTGCGAAATTGAATCAAATTGTTTGCAAGTGTTTGAAGCCTCGTATTAATCCTGGATATTTTTATTAACCGATGTTTCAGCTGTCTAAGGACTCACTTGATGTGCCTGATTCTGCCCAGCACTAACTCCTTCGTTTAAGCAAAAAAAAAAAACAAAAAAAAAAACAGCTCTAAATATTAGTCTTTCAGTTGGCAGAATGAAGTGGTAAAAATTTTACTTTTATTCACAAAACTTCCAAAAAAAAAGTATTAAATATTTTAGTATTGGACGCATGAATGAACTCAGATAGTGTTATTGAAAAATATTATTAAGGATAGCTTGCATTAGTGCTAAGGATAAGAAATAAAATAATATTAAGGATAAGCAAACTTGTAAATCACACACACTTTTAAATCTAAATGATTTTGTTATTTATTACTATCATTAATTTATTAATAAACTAAATCATTTGGAATTATCTATATTCCATGGCAGTGATCGGTACACAAAAAATTAATAGATAAGGAAAACTATTCGCATGAGTAGGTCGCTGAGCAGTGGGCGAATTGAATTATGCCAAGTCCCTTTGTGGCAGTGACACCAGTCCTCACCGCTCCATTGTGCACTGCCTCCTCCATTACAGCCTCTTCTATTAACAGAGAAAATCGATAGTAATTGATTTTGTATCTGTGTAATCGATTCAACCATTATCGGTGATAAGGAACTGTTATGGAAAAGTAACCTTTGAGAAGTGATTTGAGTACCCAGTACCTTTCTGTAATTTTCTCCATTCATAAGCTTTTTCCTTTTTGGGTAAAATGTTTGAAAGAGGCATTTGTAATATGAAATATTACTATTGGAAATTTAAGGTTTATGGGTGGCAAATAAATATTATTAAGATATCCTTGGATCGTTTTATTATCGATTTCATACAATCTACTAAATTAAATCAACGAGGACATTTGTCTAAATAGTTACAGCTGCACAAATACCAATCAATAATAAATAATCATATAATTAAAAAAAAAATTTAAAACACTAATTACAAACCAGTTAGATTATAAAATAAATATAGAAGTAATTAAGTTTACTTAAACATAGTAACTTTATTTATCTATAAAATTAGTATTTGAGCTTGCAAGTAATTTAAATGACCGTAGTAAAGTAATAAATATGTAGCTATTTTTATATATTCTTAATATATACTACTACTACTACCACCATTATTCTTACATATTTCCGGAAGATTGATTGTTGAGGAGGTTGAGAAATAGTTGGAGTATAACTCAGGTTAAAGGTAAGGTTTTGTGCCTGGAGGTGGGTAAGAGTTCGTCTATCAAGGAATATCTAAATTATTTTTTAGATGATTGTACTAAAGAAAATAAACAAGAAACAAATTATTTAAAAATAGCAATTGAGTTTTTATTCTCTCAACATTTTATACATATATTACATGATATATATTAACTTACGCTTCCAATGTTACCAACACTATATCACTTTTTGTTTTCTCGAAATTTGAATGCCGAATTTTGATCGGGAGGGAATTCCAAAAGTTGACAGAGCTGGCTATAAAAGAGTTTTGGAATGAGGAAGATCTATGAGAAGGGATGTATAGGTCAGAGGGTCGAGATCTTGTGGTGAGTCAATGGATTGAGAACTTAAATTGGAGAAGGTTGTAGGCATAAGAAGGACGATGATCGTTAATAATTTGATAAAGGAATGTGCCTAGGAAATATTGTCTTCTTAAGGAGGGGAAGAGCTACCCTAACTCAATGTAGTGGTGGGAGACACAAGAACGTCTCAGGGTCCCAATTACAAATCTTACGAAGCTATTCATAGGTCTTTTCACTCTATCACGGAATTCCACAGGCCATCGTACACCACACAGTGAAAGTGGGGAGAGATGAGAGAGGAAACTAGGACTCTACGGGTATTTTGGGGTAGAAGATGGCAGAAGTGATGGAATAGTTAGAGGGTAGAAATTGCACTACGGGAGATATGAGAGATATGGTGATTCCAGGAGAGGGTTCGACCTATGAAAAATCCTAAATTTTTAACAAAGAGGTAGAAGGTGATGGGGTGGTTATTTAGGTAGAGTGAAGGAAAGTTGATGTGGTATATAAGATGGGACTTGGAACCAATGAGAATGGTCTGAGTTTTAGCAGAATTTAGCCATAATCCGTTTAAGTTGGCCCAGCCACTAATTCGATCTAAATCTTCTTGATTTTTGGCAAATGCTACCAATAACTCAGCGGGAGAAAAGGATAGATAGATTTGAAAATCGTCGGCATAAAGGTGGTGGGAAAAATGGATGATTGAATCATTTAGGTCATTAATTAATATAGGAGCTGAAAGGAAGAGGAGACATGCTTGAACTCTGTGCAACTCTAGCAGATAAAGGAAGGTAGGCAGATAGTGGTTGATTAGGTATGAAAACTGTTTGGATTCGTTGTGAGAGGAAAGACTGGAACCAAGAAATGGAACTATTGGAGAAGGATAATGATTTTAGTTTGTTGAAAAAGATGGACTGGATAATGGAGTTGAAGGCTTTAGAGAAATGAAGAAGTATAAGTATAGTTACTTTTTTGTGATCTACTACAGTCAGAATATCACTGGTAATTTTAATCAGAGCAGATTGTATAGAGTAGCCAGGAAGAAAGGCAGATTGAAGAGGATCGAGTTGGTTGAATTTTTCAACGAAGTTGGAAACTTGGGATTGCACTAACCTTTCTAGCGGTTTTGAATGATTGAAAAGAATTGATATTGGGCGAAAATCTTGGGGAGAGCATGGATTAGACTTTTTGTTTAAAGGAAGGACAATGTCTTATTTCCAAGAGGTTGGGATTATTGAATTCTACAGGGAAAAATTGTAGATGAAAAGGAGAGCTGGGAGGATTTCAGGAAGACATAATTTTATTAGTTTGATAGGAATGCCATCTGGGCTTACGGAATCGGTGTGGGATATCACTATAACTGTAATAAGGTCTGTGGGGGAAATGTAGGAAAAATAAAAGTTATTGTCATTAAATGATACCTCTGGAGAAAAGCCGGAAGGGAAGGCTAACGAAGTATATACATTCGTACATACATCCATATTCGGCTACCATACTTTAGCATATGAAATTACTCGTGAACTCTCACCACTTTTTTTCACCAGAACTGTTCTTAGAGCTACTGGGTTTGCATCGGCTAGTACGTACGTGTCATAACCATCACTGTAATAACCCAATAGGTTCACATCATTAACTGCATTCTTTAAGGCTCTAAATGGCTGCTCTTGTGAATCTTCCCGAAGAAGATTATCATCTTTTTTATTAGCAGCCTTAAGGGTGTTGAAATTGTGGCCAAGTTGGGAATATAACGGCCAACAAAATTAAACAAACCTAAAAAACTGTGTACATCTACTATTTTGAGATTTCTAAATAATTTTACCGCCTTGACTTAATCATCTGCAGGTGACACTCCTTCAGCGGTCAGTTTTAGTGTTGCCCAAATGCGAGACCGAGACGAGTGTTGGTCTTGCAAACTCAGTCTTCGTCATGTTCTTGCGCAAGAGTCTCGCAATAGTCTTGCAGTTACTTATTAGCTTATTACTATAGAGATATTACTGTAATTTTTTAGATAGGAGAAACGTAACTAAGCCCTAATGAAAAATTAAAGGAGTTAAATGCAAAAGTATCTTGGTTATATCAATATTTTACATATAGTATGATATAGTATACTATGATTGTCAAGTATTAGTAATTATTTAACCTTAATTCTTATTCAAAATATCGATTTTTTTACCAATCCTGGTCTTGGTCTTGCAACAGTTAGGTGGCCTTGGTCTTGCAAAGTGCAAGACCAAGACCAATTATGGGCAGCACTAGTTAGTTTATATCCCAAGAATGCTACTTCTATTTTTAGAATTTCACACTTTTTCTCATTAAGTTCAAATCCTTTAAGTTTTAACAAATCTAATACTCTTTTAAGTCGAATATCATGACACTCAACCTTTTATCATAAATCAATATATCATCTATAAAATTCAAGCATCGCTCGCAACCTTGAAGAATTTGACCTATATTTTTGAAATAATTCTGAAACTGTCTATAATCCAAAGCAATGTCTTATACTAAAAAGATCCTATGAATTTGGAAAAGTTGTTAATTTTATTGATAATTGCTATGCTCAATATGATGAAATGCATTTTTCAAGTCTAACTTCGAAAAAAATGTGCTTCCTTTCAGAACCTGTAAGCATTCTTCGATTGTATGATTGGGGTGTTTTTCACTCCATTCGCCCATCTTAAGTCCAAACATAAACGTAAATTGTTGTTCTTCTTAGAAATCGGTACTGGTCTTAATGACCACGAAATTCCTCTGCTGGTTCAATGATGTCTGCATCTAACAACTCCTCTTTAGCCTCCACTTTTTTCTTCAAGGCGATCGGTATTCTTTGATATGGCTGCATTATAAGCTGTTAAGTTGGATCAATTTTTATATCCACCTAGTAACCTTCCAACTTATTCATACTTGATGCCTTTCTTATCTCTAACCCTACTTTCAATACTCCAAGTTTTTCAGTCACTTCCTTTCTCAACAATGGTTGTCCTTTTTCTTTAATTATGAAAACATCAGTTGCCACTGTGTTTGAGTTTACAGAAATATATAAGTTCACTTTCTGTATCACTGTTAAAGTGTTCTCACTTCCATACGCCCATAAGTTATCATTTATCTTCTCTGTTTTAGAATGAAATTTCACTCCCTTTGACTTTAATCTATCCCAGGATTTGAGATCAATTATACAACATTGTAATCCTGAATCTATCATCATTAGAGTAAGAACACCGCCCATTGAACAGTTTATCATAGTATTATCCGTGATAACCTTGTTTACACGAACCATTCTAAATATAGACGAATCAGTAACACTTTTTCATCTTCCTCTCTCTCAACTTTTCTTAAAAATTTACCTTTTTTTAAATTTCATTATCCCTGAAAAAACTATTGCTGCTTCCTTCTTCCTCCGTATTTTTTGCTCTGCAACAGTTGGCAGTACGTTTTATCTTATTGCATTTTTTTACAAATAGTTTCTAATACAGAGCAATTTTTACTTGTGCTGATGTGCCTCTGACTATTAGAACTAAAGCATATAATAGGACCAGTTTTATTTTTTAGTCTATTTACCACGAAGGTACTTTTCTCTGACTTCAATTCCTTTCATCTGTTTTAAAGATAATTCATAACATTTTGCCTTCATAAAAGCTTTGTCTAAAGGGATATTACCTGCTTCATGTAGCTCTCTACGCAATTGAGAATTGGAACATTTATTTCTCAATCAATTGATCTTTAATGTCTTCTTCAAGCAAAGGATATACATATCCTTTGACAACAAAATCGATAAAAATGATGGCCTTCAAACATATTGGGCCGTTTGGCGTGACTTACATCACAAAAATGTCAAAATAAATAGGTTAAATAGGAGTTTTTGCTGACATTATCTTACGATTGAAATGAAAAGTAAATGGACATCCGCGAGTTTTTAGTACCTAACTAAATAGACAAAGTTTGCCGAACTCGAGATAGAAGAGGCCCAACATTCCGAAAATTTTCGTAAATAAAATTGGTGTAGTTATCTCACGATGAGATGAATCGATTTACGAAGTTTCAGGCGGATGTTAATAATTTGAAAAAAAAGGGTCTGTACCACTGACTTTAAAAGCGACAGATGGGAAACATGTTTATTCGTACATATAATATAATATTATATTAGTAGGATAGGACTCAACACACAAAATTTTAAGTTACAATTAATTTAATAAGTAGGTAGCTTGAGCTACTGGAAAAAAAACTCGTCCAGTTTAATAGTTTCCCAACATCCACTAGCGCAAACTCCTACTAATCCATTATTGTACTCGCTCAAAATCTGTTTGTTTGGTCCATTATGGTCTGGGTTTGTAGTTCTCTTACTAAGAGTATAAAAGTCTATTAGTGAGAGTACGGAAGCCACCTGGATATATTTTTTCATTTATTAACTATATTAAAAAGTTTCATTCTATATTGTCCGAAGAGCACAGCGGATGAGGAAGCTATTTTCCTCCATCTACCTTTTCAATATATTTTAAGACCCCCATAAAAACCCATAATAAATAACATGGGAAGCCAAATTAATTAATTTTTAAAAACCCAAAAAACGTGATAAATATCCCATGTCGATCATACCACCTATGCGGCGGCATTTAGAAAGAATTACGACTATCTCGAAAACGGGACATTTTTGGGCTTTAAAACGAAGAGCACGAAAGTATCCATGTGAATTTGTACATAAATAATTATTTGAAAATATGTTGATTACATCCATAGATTTTACCAATTGTACATCAAATGATAAAATAATGTTTTATTCTAAATAAACAGTAGTTGTAAACTCCTCTATAACTAACGTAGGCTTCTGAGCACTGAAAACCGTTTTATTTTGAATGGTAACTTAATACCAAAGTACTTCTCAGAAAAACCCAAGTTCTTTTATACCTTTTGAAGGACAGATTAAATACATCATACAGTAATTAGTCAGTATTATGGGACCAAATTGTTTCTAACCAGTCGCGGAATCTCACTCAATAATGTTATCCATCGGAATTAAAAATTGATTCAACCATTGGCCCCAAAATCGTTTAATAACTCTCAGTGGTAATGATTAAACAATTTTTATACAAAACTTGGTTCATATTTTGAATTCAAACAGTTGGAGAACATTCAAGGGATCTCATAAATTTAGTAGCCACTGAACTTAAAAATCGTTCCAGCCGTTCGCTCAAAAAAATCGCTATACAATTTTTAGCGGATAACTCAATCACATATTAGAGGCGGGTCTAATGCGTGTGCACATACAGCTCAGTGCGTTGCCCAGCAACCCGGATCAAAGATAATTTGATAAAATAACTACCGATTCGTGTATCAGTGGTCTATTTACAAACCTTATAAAGATTCAGACACCCTGTCTGAACTCGTTTCTGACATGCCAATTGCTTCGAAAAAATCTTTCTTACTGATAAAATGGTCTTCACCATAATAAACCTGCATCGTCCCCTCAGTATCATCCAAACTGCTCTAGCATTTGACCCCCTTTTTGCGGTATCTTGAAATATTCTGTTCATCTGTTTACTATATATTCGTTTAGCCATATAATGGATACTGATCCTTGTTTTATTTTCTAAGATTTTTACACTTCCTTTCTCGTTCGCTTAATATATTTTTTCAATTTTTGGGTTAAATTTCGCGTTTTCCCTATTTTGAGACCAAATACTAACAATCAGTTCCGGTTAGAATAACTTATAGCTTCCATCTTTCATTGTGCAGAGATAATAATGCATTCAATATTAAAATATCCTATTTTTTTTTTTTGGTCTAACTTCCGAACAAAATAAAGGATTTTTAAAAAATTTTATTAGTGATATATGATTTTTGCTAAACAACCCATCAACTATTCATTATATATAGGTCAGATTAAGTACATATTATTTTATTTTACAAAACCGGTATTGATATGACTCATTTTTGGGGAAGTTTATACAATTTAAATTACTTCTAAGAATCAGTAAATATAGAAAACAAATTGTTAAATTACAAATGTTAAATAAAAATTCAAGATATTCAGTAAAGTATTTTTGAACTAAGTTTTATTAATTAGTATTATATCATTTTTACAATAGAGACCTTCTTAAACACGACCTCCGCACAGAATAAAGGAAGATAAATTAAAAAATTTTATTATTTTGGCCAATTAAATTATTGCATTAATATTTGTTCGTTAATACAATCTATATAATGTACCAAACCGTTATTATAGCACTATAACTAAGTCATTTATGAGTACTGAATGGCGTGGTAGAGGCCTGTAGGCACCTCCTTCAATTATTTTTAAAAGGATTCAGTGTTTTAGAAAAAGAAATATATTTTCCAGATGTTTTATTTCAGCACGTTTTGCGTTATTTTTGAATGTTCAATTACAAATAACGCTTGATTCTCGACTTGAAACGTATTTATTAAAAAAATGACTTTACTGTAATTTTTTATTGCCTAAGCCAATTATTTTTTTTAATGTTTTATTATTCTCTGGCTATCCATCTTTAATAAAAGATCAACTATGACGAAATTAAGCCAAATTCTGATTCTCAGTGGCCCAAAAAACTAACTAAAGTCAAAGTCGTCAGTCCGCCATGCTTGGACGCCGTTTTGCGGCAGTGCGTTCACTTCTTTTTTTATGTTAACATTGGCTTTTTTTTAATAAATAGTTACAAAGAACAGAACGATATGCAATTTATATGGATTTGGGGGAGAGAGAGGATGCACGGTAAAGGGGTCTGGCCCACAGACAACTATACCAATTCCGACACCTCAGTTCTACCTGCCCGCTGGGTAGCTTTAGTCGTTTGAAATTAATATCATATATATTAATTATTATTGTTTATTAATGTTATATATATATTTATATACATAAAGAAAATTATTAATTTTGTTTCACTGAAAACTATACTGTCAAAAGGCAAGAGAAATAATTGCTAAATATAAACAATTTTTAAAAATTAAAATTATATAATAAGGACTATTCATTATAATAATGTAGATCTTGATTGAGACTAATTGAATCTTTTTCTTTTTAGATAAGATAATAAAAATCAATAATACTAATAAAGAAAGATAAGAGCTAATATTATAATAAAATAAATGATAAATTGTAAAAATAAATAAGAAAATAATAGTAAAGAATTTTTATTACTAGTGTTCACCCAGTGGTCGAAATTCGACCATAATCATTAAATATTTGAGGAAATAATATATTTAAATAAAAAATATCCAATAAAAAAAAGTAAATCATGATTTAAAATTCCTCATGTATTAATAAAAACGAAATTTTAATTTCAATTAAAAATCGAGCTTAAACTTCTTAAAATTATTTATATGTAATACAAAATAGCATAACATTCAAACATATTTAATTTCCATTTCGATTTATGTATGTTATTATCACAATAAATTAATATTATGATTAAGCAAGCACTAGCGGATCCAGGATTTAATTTGGGTGGGGGGGGGTGGCTTCAGCCCGAAACCTTTTTTTTCATAAAAATAACGATAATTACTTTGGAAAAACAGAGAGAAACTAACTACCTATATGAAATGGTGTTTAAGTGGTTCCTTAAGTCCTTTTAAATGTGCTTAAACGAATAATAATACTTTAAAAGGTATTTTTTAAAAAAAATTTCCCAGAAAACATTTTACCATTTTGGAAGGGGCTTCAGCCCGAAAGCCCCCCCCCCCCCGTAGATCCGCCCGTGAAGCAAGTAAAAAAGTGAATAAAAATTAGTAATTTTAATTCAGTTTAAATCAATTTGTATGTAGAACTTCTCTGTAAACAATGTTATTTGTGAATGTTCTGTTGATGTTTAGTAAGTAGCCTTCCCATTGCCA